CCTCGAAGTGTTTGGTTCTCCCTTCATGCGGAGCATCAACGTGGTCGTGGCCCTTCTCTTCGGCTACTTCGTGGCGGCCGTCTCCGAAAACAACGGCAACGACTACGTCGTCAGCGACAAGATCGACGCAGGTGTGTGCATGCATGCGTGGGGACAAAAACCTCGCACATCTTATCTTTTTTTCTAGTGAACAAGGCGGACGGGAGACGATAACGCCGGGGGGCAGGGTGTGCGGCGGAACTCGTTCGCTACTCGTCGTTCCACAACACAAAAAAAAATAGTACTGGCGGCCGACTTCGCGCAGGGTGTCGTGTCAAGGGCCCTCCCCCCTCCGTTGTGCTGCTCCCGCTCAAATCGACAAACACTACGACCCCCGCCCCGTCTCCCTTCTCGCGCGCATCAAATGTTGTCCCCCCACCTCCCTCCCCTTCCAGCCGACAGCATCACGTTCCTGTGGGTGTTCACGTACCCGCTGTCGGTGTACCCGCCCCTCATCCTTCCCAGCATCCTCGCCTTCATCGTGACGACCGTCGAGACGATCGGCGACGTCACCACCACGGCTGAGGTGTCCAGGCTCAACGTCGACTCCGAAGAGCACTTCCAGGTTAGGCGAAACAGCACCAGTGATCGATGCTGCGCGAAAGCGGTGTGCGCCATCCTCTTACTCACAGCCGACATCACAGCATGATGACGTGCAGACACATGTGCCACAGCTAGACTTCCGCCCTGTCCAGCAAAAGCTTGATAAGTATGTGAGCTACATGAGACCTACTTGTAACACAACAACAATGTGTCAGTACCCTTCTTGGGTGCTTCCTTGTGCGACCTGCAGTGCACCACCCACCGTTCTCCACTCTAGCTCCTCTCCGGGCGGCAGCCGCCGGTGCTTATACAATCCAACGGCAGCGCTGATTGGTCAACCGTGTTTAGGGTGTCTCGTGTTCTTGTCGTCGTCGTTTGTCTTTTCGGGTTTCTCTTTTGCAAACACAGACAAATCAGCCAAACGCGATCGTAGCCGCTCGCAACGCGATCGTAGTCGCACGCACCGACTCCCTTCCCCGACCCTCTCCTCTTCTCCTCTGCCCTTCGTACGTAACGACAATATCTTCACCAGAGGATCCGCGGGGGTCTTCTTGGCGACGGAATCTCCAGCTTCCTCGCCGCCCTCGGCACTAGCATGCCCAACACCACCTTCTCCCAGAACAACGGGGTTATCGCCCTCACGCGGTGCGCTTCCCGCCGGGCCGGTCTTGCCTGCGCCTGCTGGCTGATCGTCTTCGGTATCCTCGCCAAGGTACGGTATATAGGCGTGTCGTGTTCAGCCTTGCCTGCCGTTTGCGAAAAAAAACAGTCGCTTTTGGGCACGTGGAATCGCTTGCTTGTAATATTGTGTGAAGATTAAAGAGGGGAAGTCACGGGCGGGCGGTCTCCGCTGAGCAACACCGGTGGGACCGGTGGGGTTGGTGTGCTGGGCTTTTTGGCGCAGTAACAATTGTCTGACAAAAGGTCGTTTAACAGGGGTCGAGATATGTCTCGATGCCGCCCTGGTAGCCAATACCGAAAAAGTGCGTGGCATGGCACCCATGGGGGTTATGACACCGGGGTGCGCAAAGAAGGGTAGAGAACGGCATGATTCATGATTTAGTTGCATTTCCGCACCGGTGTCGATGATAACGCACCCGCGGTGCGATGTCAACGATATATAATCTGCTAGGACACAAATTTGCGTGCTTCCGTTGAACTGCGTGTATCACACGGCTGTGAGGGTGTGGTAGGTATCAATTGGGGCGCCATTCCGTTCATGTATGTTTATCGTCCTGTCGAGGCTGTGAGCTCAGAAAAGGCCCACAATCACCGTAAAATGACACTATGATTTTTCCGTATGTCACCCATCGACGTCATCGCACAGGGGCTGCGTTGGAAATCTAGAACGACTTCATTAGATTGATTTTCCGCACCGGTATCGGTGATATGGCACCCTTCGGTGTTATGACACCGGGGTGCGATAAAAAGCGACGAAAGGTGGTTTAAAAAACGATGGCACCGCTGTGCAATGACACGCACTTTTACGGTACTCCTGAAGTTAGAGTAAAGTGCCGTGTCGTTCAAGATATTCATGTGTGTATGCCCCTGGAGCGTTGTGTGTGATCTCGATCTTAATTTTTTGTCATCTCCTCCGGGTACACATACGTGACATTCATGTGTTAAAAGGCAAACACTTCGGTCTTCCCCGCCCAAAACTTCGACCTCCTAAACACTTTATGTAAAAGCCTCCCCCATTGTCTGACCCGCCGCCTCCCGCCACCTCTCCGAACCTTTGACCCTACCCTTCTCCCTCTACGCTCTCTTGAACACCCATAAAGCTACCCCGACCCTCCGTCTTAACCCCCCTCTTGGTTCATCGATTGACCCCCTGGTTCACTTTTCGGTGTCGATCGACGGCACGATGGATGGTGCCTGGGTCAAAGCACCAACTCAAACACACCACTTGGCTGATGGGGCAAAACCGATGAACATCTTGTGTGCCACCATCATCGCAGATCGCGGCGTTCTTCACGTCCATCCCGGACTGCGTGCTGGGCGGCATGACGACCTTCCTCTTCGCCAACGTCGCGGTCTCGGGGATCAAGATCCTCTCCTCCGCGGGGGACTCCCGCCGTAGCCGCTTCATCGTGGCCTGCTCCATGGGTCTCGGGCTGGGCGTGACGATCGCCCCGGCCTGGGCCACCAACAACCTCTGGCCGTGTTCCGACTGCGGGGAGGAACTCCGGGTGAGAAGAAAAGTGTGGAGCGTCGTACCGAGATTTTTATTCTTGGAGTTTTGAGCAGCACACAGCAGCTGGAGTGCATTTCTATCCCCGTTCGTGACGCCATCGTACAAAGACAACCAACAAATTGCAGTTGATAAAATCAATTGGGAAGCAGCCGTGTTGCACGGCAACCTATGAGAGAAGAATGTGGAACTGAAAAGGGCCGGGGTACCGAGCGGTAAAGCCGCAAGGAAGTCGAACGAGAGGGGGAGAAGATGATACTAATGAGAACCACGGGTTGCGTTAACGTCGCCAAGGGTATGCTCCTTCGGAGAAAGACCACAGGGGTTAGGGGGAAGATGACGAGCAGTCGCCAAGTCAAGGATCAAGCTGCATGGAACGCCCTCTCCGTCATTGCCAACCGCCCACACAACCAGTATACGCTTAGACCACAACGCGAGGGGGTCACCCGGCCGCACTCCGTGCCTGTACTACGTACGCCCTCCCCCCCTGCCCCACCCTTTGCCGCTCACCGATGCCCCGTCGTCCCTCCCCGCCCCGCACCGTCACCAACAAACAACATGACACCGCGCCAGTCCTTCCGCGACGGCGTGATCCTGGTGCTGAGCACCGGGTACAGCATGGGGTGCGCGGCCGCCATCATCCTCAACCTAATCATCCCCAACGAGGCCATGGAGGAAGAGCTGCCCGTCACAAAGGCCATCTTCGAGTAAGAGGAGGGCACCGAAGAGGTCGCGCCCGTGGCCAAGAAAGCCATCTAACGCCCCCCCCCCCTTGTAAGAAATTACGGGACCCCCCTTCTACAAACCATTATTTTTCCGGCTGAAGCTTCCGCGTCAGCTCAAGGTCGCGAAGGAACAGCCTTGCGATGTGCACCGCACACCAAGGTTTTGGGGAGCCCGCCTGTTTCACGGCAGGCCAAGTATGTTTTATACCCGTAAGCTGTACGAGGCGAGAAGAAAACTAGCGTTGTTGCTCGAACTGCGGGCTGTTCGTCCAAGCTTGTTCACAGTGATTTCGTCCGAAGTCGAACAAGACCTTGGCAATGCTGCCCGGGGGAGAGTTTTCGGCTCAAGTTTCTTTTTTTCATTTTTTGACGCGCGCGCCCGTCGCAAAACTTTGCCTCCGTCGCTCTTCCGCGTTCACGCGTGTACCACGCCCGCGGCCCACTCTTCCCTTCTTACGAGAGTTGTATTCTATGATAGTATCACAATGGAAGGATTGATGCTTCGTCGTAAGGATAACACCAAGTAAATTGCACACAGTAGTGGTTGAAAAAGTGGAACGTATTATGTGATAGGGTAGCGCAACGGCGTGTGCAGTTTGGGCCCTGGGATACGAGGTTGTGACGTCTTCGGAGGGGGGTTTCTTGGGGAGTCGACGTCAGCTGTTGAGCGTGACTGACTCCATTTTATATGTAGGTCTTAGCTTGATGTCACCGTGCAGATTTTTCATCACATGAGGCGTACCCGCAGGAGCCACGAGGTTGATGCCTTCTCTCACAAGGCGTTTTCTTGGGGGAGCTGACGTCGGCCGGCCACACGGCTGACTTCCATTTTTGAAGTACCTAGGTTCTATAGCTTGTGCACCGGCGTGCAGAGTTATCATTTTTATCACATGAGGCGTACAACAAGTAGGAGGTTTGTTGTATACAATTGAAAAGGCGTGTTGTTCATTCTCTCTAGATCATGCCCCCATCATCGGGAGAGGGAGAGGTCCCAAGAATGAATATGTATTTGGAAGACCCAGCCGGCATGCTGTGTCGTGGTATATTCTACTGCTGTAGACTGCGTCGCCTGTGAAATATCATATTGGTGAAAGTTTTTTCGTGTCCCTCTCACAAATTTGTATCGCTAACCCCCCCCCCCTCTCAATGCCCCCCGATGTGATAATTGTCATCTTGTTTGTGTTTGTATTTTTCCTTATATTAGGTTGTCCCGGTGTAGCGATCTTGAATCACCCACGCATGATTTTGTTTTGGATGGGCGTGTGAGGATTGGCTCAGCCGGTGTCATTTCCGACGGCGAATACACTCACTCCACCTCCATTTTATGATTAGTTTCTTTGTTGTCCAAACGGTGTAACTTTTATGGGCAGTTGGTCTGTGACCACGGAAGGCATCCGCCTCAGTTGGACCATCAGTGCGGATATTAGAAGTTGCTGAGCGGATGGTCTTGGTTGGTTGTGTTTTCCGGCACGATGACATTTCATATTATCATCTCCTCTTCCTTGTCCCCTGCACACCCTACTACCCTGGATGTGAGCGCAGGCGCGACAAACAGTATAAATGTCTCTGGTCTAGAGGACAGCTTCGTAATCTTGAAAGGAGTATATACACTTCGCGCTACAGCGGTAGGATATTGATTGTTGCAAATTTACCTGTTGTTGCTGTTGCGTGCATTGCGCTCCATTCCATCCCTTTTCCCGGTGCACACCGCCGTCCCTCGCCTGCCCTTTTCAGTCAAGCATGTGGTGTGTGTAATCACGTTCAAAACATTGGAAGATATAACTGCCAGTCGACACGGGTACACCTTTACCACGCACCTTGCCACATTGTTAGTGACAAGACGTTGTAGTGAGGTAGTGGCAGTGATATAAATAGTGTCGGTGAAGCACCGCGGGGCGGGGGTAAAAAAGCAAACAGGGTGAGGTCACCGCGAGAGAAATAACGATCCTGGGTGGTTCAAAATTGCTGTCTATTTTGAAGGGCGGGAGAGAGAGAGGGAAATAGAGATGGGATACGGTGCACGTCCGCACTTCCGAACTTGCGCGACCCACAATAATGTCTCTTCCTCTCTGGATGTAGCCGTGTGATGTGAATATGGTACGAAATGAAGGGCTTACCCGACCCCACGATTACAAACTTTCTCTGTATATAGACAGTAGGCGTCGCTTAGCGGTGACAACAACTGACCGGAACTGGGAGCACACAGACAGGTAGGTTCTCTCAGCTGCATCGATCCACCTATTGGCACAGAGAGTGCTGGCAACACTTGCTTTGAGCAAGGGTCAAAAAGCTTTAGTCTATGTATGTATGTACAGTGCCGGCGGCTTGGTCCAGTACGAGCCTAGACGAGAACACTTGCGTGCGACGATATTTGTTGACACGGCCGGCACTGCAGGTATGTCCACTGGTGCGACAGCAGTCGTACACAGCATCATTATTACAACAATATCGCTCACTCGTTTTACTTTGCAAGCAGCATCATGTACAATACAGAGTAGTAGACTAAACAAACAACAATTGTATTATAGTATCATCGGCGGAGAGAAGACCTACCCGGGTAGGGAGTGGATATCCGCTGCCGAGCGGCCCTCATTTCGAAAGACCCGCCCCGCTTCGCCGTTAGTGGCAAGATGCGCAGGATGTGGTGGGTGTGACGCTAATATCACTCACTGCATGCCCTTTCGTTTGGTGAGAGCTACATGTCTAGACTACACAACAGCAGTACAGCAGTATATCGGAGACACGGGAGAGTACCAATACTGCTGCTGCCGTCGGATAGATAGATGTGGTTGGATCCCGACTGTTCGCGCTTCTTCCATATCTTCCGCCGTGTATGCATGGTGATGATGAGTGCTGGGTTGTGCTCTCACATGCACACTGATACAAACATGTGCAGATGTGCAGATATCATGCAGCCACACAGCAGACTTCACTGGATCTCCTGAGTTCCGAAAACGGAGATCTGGACGGAGATCTGGTAGATCTCAATCAGCAAAAATCCCTCCTGATTCTGTCCTTCGTGTTGTTCAGTCCAACGACGTTACACTTCTACGCAGCGAGCACTATGGCTGCCGTGCTTGCATCAAACCACCATGGAAAAGGGAGGGTCCGAGTCACGAAAGTGAGTGTGTGAATGTGGTTTGATATCGTTGGTTCAGGTGCCCAAGTGCGAGTTCTCCGACACGTTGGAGCGCTTTCAGCACATGGGGGTTGCATCAAGGGACCACACCCCTGCACATCCCCTGCCTGGACCGAACTTCAAACCTCCATTGTTCCACGGCTAAGAGGATGCCGAACTCAACTGATGCATTTTCGGCAATCTCTCGACGAGAGAATTCCAACGCCGCCATTCCGGCACCGTCACTGCTGTGTTTCCTGCCGAGTATTCGGAGAGCTTTGCATCTCGGGCCAGGGGGTGTGATATCTTACGCAAGCTACGGCACAACACTAGGTACAGCAGTCGACCGCATAGGGTTCAGAGTTCAGCACAGGGGTATTGATGCTGGCTCTTTTCTCGTACTTTAATCCCACATAAAGAAAGAAAAAACCTTCCCGCCGGAGGAACCTGGTATGTACTTAGTACTAAATAGTGTCAGTGGAGGACACCATCAAGAGGCGTTGTGCGTGCTGGCACGTTCAGGTTGTGCTGCTGCTGTTTTCGTCCTGCAGTCGTGGGCCCGGTTTAGCGGTTCCCTGCTTAGCGGGATACCCTGAATAGCGGTTACAAAACCTTGTGACACGGCTGCACCCCGGTTTAGCGTAGCAACTGCTAACCGGTCGTGCCCTCAATAGCGTTACTGGGCATCTTTTCAGCCACCAATAGCGGTTACAGTATCGGCTCAAATTTTGTAGCGACACAGCGACATTGATCAGCCGCTTAGCGTCGTCGATGCTCGTCGTAGAAGCACACAGCAACACACACACACACTATGCGGTGCGCGGATGGAGAACTACTGTAGCTTTCAGATGCGCCACTGAGTCCGAGCGGCGCGCACGATTGTAAAGGTGACTGTGGTGGCCGCATGCACGGCATGTATGGAGAGGTGGAGGATCCTGATGGCAACCCGATGCACGGCCTTTGCCAACAATAGGGTGCAACCAAGAAGGCCCGGAGTTCCCCTAGCTTCTCGAATCCACCCAACCAAGCGCAAAGAGGCGGGAAGTGGCTTTCTAGCACCAGGCGCGGAAAAAAACAACTCGCGCTGCAGCTACACGACGGCCCCGCACGCGGCCCAACTTTGCCAAGAAGTTTGAGGTTTTGAATATTCTTGACTACAAGGTAGCGCACTCAGAAATAACGCGCAGGAATAGATCGAAGCTTTGCAGAAGGATCGAATAACAAGCTCGTTGAGAAGTTCTCCAGTATGTACATGGAGGGGCCTATCCCCCTCCGACGACGAGTTAGAGCTAAAGCTAGAGCGAGATTGCACCGCAGAAGTTGACGGTGCAAAGCGAAAGGGGGTGATGGTGCAGCCCCCTACTCGGAGCTATCGGTGCATTTTGGCCAGCTTGAAGAGTGCGTGGAGTTGTGTGGCGTGGGCGAGGCAGCACACTATCTTCGCAAGGCAAAAATGGCGTTCCTCGCAGCGAATATCAGAGAGGTGTTGGGTTAAGCATGATCGATACACGCGACAAATAGTACCAATGAGCTGCTGCTCAAGCAAGTGGTTGGTTGCCATTGCGTTGTCACGAACTTGTGCCCCACGTTCCTTACAGACGGGAACGATTTTCCAGTCAGTCGTAATGAAGAAGGGCATACAGTCCATCAGGGAAAAAGAGCTTTACGCTTTCGTGAATTGAAATTCACTAATGTGCTTGCTGTGTTGTCATCCTTAGGGTCGATACTTCTTCATCTGCACCTTCGTATGACTGCTGCAATGAGACACATGCAGGCCGTATCAAGATGAACTTTCGACGCTGCTCTTGGTGGGCAAGAATGGGCTTTTTCCCGGTTTAGCGGTTCATCAGCGCTGTTGAGCCTCCCGGTTTAGCGGTTCATAACCGCTAAAGAGGTTTAGCGGCGATGCCCTGAATCGCGGTTATAAAATTTCGTGACACCATGGACCGCTGAACAGGGCCCACGACTGTACTTCATTTATTATGGCGACAGCAGTCCCCCCATACTGGAGCTGAAATATTGGCAGCGCACCCATACGTACAGTAGGGCAATTTTTGTAATATACGGAGGAACTTCCAACAATCATCTACTGGTATGTTTTAGGGGTAGAGCCGGGTAGATACCCATCTCCCACCAATCACACGTCGACCTTGTAAGACATTGTGTAAGACAGAGACAGATGATTGGGCGATGGGACGACGCTCGGGGAGAATCCCCGAAATCTTCTTGAATGACGCAGCACAGCAGCAGCGCATGTTGGACAATATACGAAACAACCAGCACAGCAGCATACGAGACTGCGGTAGGTCAAGGGCAGCGAAAGGCACATATCATAGGAGGCGTCGGGTGTGACTCTTACAGCCCGTTGCCTGCTGTGGGCAGCACAAGCGAGTGACGACGCAAGTCAATCGGCGGTCTGTCTGAATCATCCTCTACTACTGCCGATCTTTGGAGCTTCCCACACAGACGCATCCCCACAACAGAGACAACGAGACGTACACACCGCTGTAGGCCAAGGCCGGCCAAAGGCACACATCATGCCTGGGGTCGGGAGCTATTTTTAGAGCCCGAGGCCTGCTGTTAGCAGCGTAAGCAAGGGGACCTGCGAGTGCGCACAAGTCAAATCTGTCTGTGGTCTATCTTCGTCTGCAGGCCGATCTTTGCTTCCATCACAGAAGCACCCCCGAAATAGAGACAAGTGAGACGTACACAACGCTGTAGGCCAAGGGCGGCCAAATACACACATCGTAGGATGGGACCGATTTCAGAGCCCGTTGCCCGCTGCTAGCAGCGAAAACGAGGAAAGCAAGTGCACACCCATCCACTCACAGCAGCAGCAGCAGCAGCAGCTACATGTAGCTGATGATGATGAGAACTACACAGCGCTCTCATTCATCCCCTGGCTGACTGGTGGTGTCGGGTGAGGTGTGAGCGTGTGCACTGGTGACCTCTGTGGTGGCGTAGGTTCCACCCATATCTATCTACGCTTGCTTTGATGTCTCACTTTGCCCCTTCTTTTTGCGCTTCGCGCCAATTTATTTAACTTTGCTTTGTTAGACCTATGAATGAGAGTTAGTGGCATCAGCTACTGCTGTAAACCCGCAGTTCAGGAGATTGGGGTCAGTAGCGGCGCGCACAAGCAGTACAATACACTGGGTGTTGGTCTAATTTGCGGAGATTTGCGGAGATTGTAGGCCACTACTGTAGTACAACCCTCGTTATCACCACCACAGAAGCAGATTTGAGCGCGCCAACACGCACCCCCCGCTGCTCTAGGATGTCCTCTTGTGATATTAGTACTATGCACCAGGTTCGTCGAGAGAAAAACCGTGATCCAATACAAGTAGTGGTCTTCCGTGACCATAGTGGTCGGCCACCGGTGGTCTCCTGGTACAGTACCATGGTGGTCAGGACGCTTCTAAGGATCGGTTCCTGCACGTTGGATGTGTCAAAACCTACTCTTCCAATATACTCTATACCTGACATCCACACTTCTCCGCGTATTTATCAAGTGAAACTTGTTTCCGTAGTGTATTTACCGTCACCAGAGGGCGACAAGGGTCGATGCAAGAGAGGGAGTGCCGCCAAGAGCAGCACACCGTAAAAGAGGGTCCCCGTGTCCCCGTGTATCGTCACGGTTTCAGCGCCGGTCGGAATGAAGCTGCTTTTGGCATTTACACAGCTGTAAAGACCTAGCACCGTCTGCGTAGATGGCCTTTCAAGATGTCAATTGTCACGTATAGAGGCACGAACACGCGCCAACTGAACCACCCACAGCTGTTTCTCGTGCTACACATGTGGAACTGTGATGAACTGCCGCCCATTGCACCAGGACTGAAACAAACGTGTTGCCCCCGTCTGTGTTGTCGCCGATGTATCCTGCACCCTGCTGGTGGTGCGGCTGCTGTCCTAAAACACAACCACAAAGGTGATCAGGCGGGGTCCGGTACACTCAGTGCTGCAGTTCAACGTTGAGATTCTGTTGGATGGCCCGACAAATGCCGCCTTTACCGCGGCGGACAACTCGCTCATCATCCCGACGGACACACAAAAGAACACGGTGTACGTCCTGGCCAAGACCACCTCTTTCGATTGCGCGGAGCAGTTCGCCATCATCGTTGCAAAGTGGGTGTTTTTGCTGCTGCTGCTGCTGCTGCTGCTCCCTAGTACCTACGCGGTGGCGCTCCGTAGGGTCGGCGCTGTTTATCAATACGTATCAAACGCTTTGGTTGTTATCACAATGAGTACAACTTTGACTGCGCCAGAGACCGCAAACCAGCACGTGATTGGCTGACACTCCGATGCAGTGATTGAAGAAACGAAGATAGTCTACCTGTGAAAGTCTTGGCTCACGTGTCGCTGAAAATAGCGAAAAGGGTGTTGGTGCTCGCTGCGCTGATTTTTCGTAACTATAGTACCCCAGGTTGCGCGTAGATACTGTACACCGTGGACCGATTCCCACAGCCCGGTTACTCCGTAACAAACGTAACGATGGTCCCGAAAAGAGCGGCGTTGAAACCTCCTTGTCGAAAGCTTTTCGAAAACGTACCATTCGAATTTGGCGTCCTCTTCGTTGCGGAGTATCTGCGCTTTGAAAATCGCACGGGGATGTGTGGTGTCTTATGCAGCGTATGGGTACCACGTTGACTGCGTCAGCGACCACAAACCAACATGTGATCGACTGACCCTGCACGGATTGAAAAAACCAAGATGCGCAAGATGTCTACCTGCGACGAAGGTCGTGGCTAACGTGTCTCTGAAAATAGCACGAGATTATCCTGCTGCTCCCTGCGCTTCGTCTTAAATGAACGTACCCGAGGGGACTTTGTCTTAAATAAACGTACACGAGGGGAGAGTCCAACGACCTCTCGATTCCTTCGTGCTGCCGTGGTGGTGCCTCAACTCCCTCGCCCGTCCGTCCCTCCCTCCCTCTCGCGTTTCTCACCCTTGGCGCACGACCCCGCAGACACTTCTTGGCGACATACCCGGACCTCGTCCATCGGTGCCGGGTGATGGTTAAAGAGGACACTTGGAAGCGAGTACGGACGGCGGACAGCACCGGGAAGACCAGGGATCACGACCACGCGTTCCTCAAGGCGGGGCCGCACTACCTGTTCGGCCGCAGCGAGGGCACGCGGCAGCCCTGCGGGCGGATCAGCATCCGAGCCTTCGGTGGCGTCAAGGGCCTGACGCTCTTCAAGACCACCCAGTCGTCCTTCACAAACTTCCACAAGGACAACAACACCTCCCTGCCCGAGGCGGAAGACAGGTGAGGGTGTCCAGGAGGAACGATGGAGGCGTAAACGCACACTTTTGTCACGAAATGATGACCGGCGGCCGTGGAAACATACCGGCGAGTTGTGCCCTAAAGAAGCGGCTCCCACCCTTAGCACCCGCGGGCTCAAAAGGCTGTTAGGTATTGTCAGGGTACGAACACAGTGTCCTCTCCGGACAGCGCCCGAGCTACCAGTGGAGTGCGATGTCGCGAATGTGTTGTTGTGGCAGGCACAGCTGGTCATGCGTCGAAGTGGCACGCGGGCGTTTTCCCCATGCATATCACTCACAAGGCAGCTGGGCCATAATTTGTTCTGTATCCAATGACATCTCTCCGACGCACATACATCGAGGATGGCGTTTGAATCAGTTTTGAGTCTCTTCGAGGATGACAAGTTTTCGCTAAACTGATTTGCGTTTGCTTCATCGAAAAAAAGCGAGCCGTGGAAGTTATCAAGGGTGTCTGTCGCCAAAGCACGCACATCCGTTGAAGCGCCCTTGACCCTCTCCAAGATCCCTCTCCCTCTGTTCGTGCTCTTCGCCCTAACGTATCGCGCTCGCCTCTGACCCTCCTCTTTCGGCGAGAAGGCTGCTGGGCACGTGCATGGACGGGGAGTGGGAGTACGACGTGCTGCGCTCGCCCGACTTCTCCGGGGACCGCGCGAAGATCATCGACGTCCTCGTGGAGCAGTTCGCCGGGCCGGCGGACAAGGGCGTCTACAGCCCGTCGGTGCAGGTGACCTGCTTCCAGATGGGCTCCGCCGTGCTGGCCACCGTCCCCAGCGTCTCGGAGTGCACGTTCTACATGCCGAACGTCCACAATCTGCCCTTCGACCTCGCCAAGTACGGGCTGGTCAACGCCGACCAGACCGGGCTGCCGCACATATTTTACCCCGTCGACGAGCCGCACGGCATCATCCAGGCCACGATGAAGCGCCCGTCGTCCAAGCTCTAGGGTGCGCTAAGGCACGAAGAAAAAATACGGTTGGAAGAGTGTAGGGAGCCCGCTACACAGGGGTGGTTTTAAGTGGCGCACTGATTGTTCGTGCTGCAACGTAAGACGAGCGGCGTTTTTTTACGGATGCGTGCGTGCGGGGATCGTTTTTTTTGTCATGGTGAACATACGTGCCGGTCGCCCCGGTGGTCTAGTTGGTATCCTCGAAACCTTCTAGAGGTCAGGTCAGGGGTTCGAATCCCGGCGTAAGCGAGCTTTTCTTGCAAAGTGAGTTTTTCTCTCGCTTCCGCTCCTGGCCTAATAGTGGATAGCGCTAGTTCGTGTGAGGGAAGAGAGTGCTGAACTCTTCTCACATTAAAAATCGAAGGCAACGTACCGCAGGAGGGGAGCGTAGAGAAGGGCCCTTCTGTGTGACCACGGGTTGGAGTAAACGGCACTATAATAGCGCTGTGAGCGCTGATTTGAAGTGAAGACAAGAAGAAAAAAAAAAACGAGGTCTTGTGACGCTTGTATTTTGTTGTGCATGGATGGTTGGCGGCGTAGTCATGTAGCACTACGCCGCTGCGGTCAACAACGCATGTATTTCATGGCGCCTCTTGCCTTGCTTTCGGGTGGCATTGTCCCTTGTGGTGAAGACCCTGGGAAGTCCATTCGACAAAATTCCACGTACTTTCGCCCGCATTTAGTACGTTTTTGGAAGGTGTTCCCATTTCTGGAGGCGTTACTTGGGATCGGCTATTGCCGTCTCAGCGGGGTGTTGTGTCATGGGCGATTGGGGATGGATTCTCACCCTAATGCGTTGTGAGTTCTGGTTGATGTCGGAAGCTACGGATTTTCCTCTCCATTTGGCCGGAACTATGTATGTGGGATGGAACAACCAAGCACCACATTTTGAGGGGTCATTCGATACCCACCACGTGGTATGCCCCTTTGGTAGATATTATTGATGATGTCCATGAGGACACGTTTCAGCACTCTCTTAACGCAGCATATTTTGAAATCGAACAAATGTCTGCGGAGTTTTTTTGGCAGGCGAAAAACACACCACGGTCGAACCGCCACCCCTCCCCCTTCCGCGGGGGACTCCAAGCACTCGACTCGAACGGTGATGTTTTTCCTTGTCCAATGTCTCGTGCCTTTCCGTTGGCAGTCGCGTGATGATGCGAGACATGTGTAGCGATACCCACTCGAGGCGAAAGCCAACATTTTTTCGTTCAGAAACAGGTCACGCCGATTTTTTTTTTCGTGCTTACAAGATTTTGACTTTCGCGTTTGACCCTTCTCTGTCGTTTTGCATAACGAGAATTTTGTGGTCGAAATGTGGGGAGGGGGAGTGAGGAGCGTTCGGCAGGGAGATACGTATGTTTGTGTGCGGGACGATCGATCTCCATTAATCGCCATCGGCCAGTTTTGAATTCCGCACCCCGATCGTAGTGCACACACGTTTTCCAGATCTTCCAGCCCCCAGTAAGGGTGAATGTGTAGATACATTTAATAAAGGCACGCACAGGCGTACTTCGAGGGTTCGACGATGTTGATAAATAAGATGCCTGAGTTTAGCACGCCTTCCGGCCGAAAGAGACACAAACACTTGTTGACATTCTGGTGCTTCACACATTTCACTTCTAACGAGGTTTAAGGTTTCTCCTTTCACCACGTGTGCCTATTAGTGAAGCGGAGGTAGTTCGAACGGGTTACCGCCTGTTTGCTGTCTATTGCGTTTATCGATTGGATGCTAATGGCCTCTTCTACCAGGTCCGCCGCGCAAGCTCGTGGCCGAATCGCGCGTGCTGGACATTACACCATATGTGGTCCTCTGGGGCATGGCCTTGGTGTTTAAGGCTTTGGCCGAAACACGCTGGCGGTCGAGAGCGCATAACAATGGATCGCTTTTCGTTCAAGGAAACAAAAAGGCTTGCGAAGGAGCGGGGAATTGGAACCAAATCATGTTTGAAAATTCACGCTCTGCTGGTGAGAACCCCTCACTTTCGTCTCAACCCTCCCCGTGTTCGTCTAGTCTCTCGCTTGAAAGCAGCACCACCTTTGGGGCATGCCTTCTTAAGAAGCCCTGATACGACTAGCATGGGGTGCTGCGCCCTCCGCTGAGCGCTGTTTTGGGGCTTCTTTGTCGCGGGAAGATATTTTTCTTTTGAAATAGAGGCACCCAGGAGATAAGTGAATGGTTTAGATCAACGACAAATTACTAATTTTAATTCATCTCACACCAAGCGCTCCAAACTACGGTAAATCCTCCCAACAAATATCCTCGGCGCCGACGGAAACAAAATTATTCGCGCAACTGCTGCTTACACTACTGTGTAGTTCACTCCTATGTCTGCTTCTACTATCGATTTCGACTAAATGCGTAGAAGGTCGTCAAACAACTGAAAAACATTTTCTTGAATCCGTACCGTCTTTCTTGACCCGAACCTCACACGAATCGAATGAACCCAAGCCAATCATCAAATCTAGATGGAAACAGAGTGGAGCAGTGACTCGTCGTCCTGGGTGCCAACAGGCCGCTTCGTAGAAATCGTCTCCTTCCAATCAAGTCTCGCATGCATCGCACGATCGCCCTTGAAACCTCCGTGTCGCCTTCTCCCATCTTGACCGCCACCACCAACGCCCTGGTCGCTCAATAGGGCCCTCCATCAACCCGTGTGTTTCACCGACCCAACTGGGGGGGGGGGGTAACCGGCGATTCTCATGGGCTTATCTTCATCGGCTGACTCAACAACACCCCGCGCGCGGGCCTCCACAGCGCGGCGCTTCATTTGTGCTGGCCAGAAACGATGCGTGCGATGATGTCTAGCGTCTGCTCGGTGAAGTCTGGCACGGTCGCGCGGGACTGGAGGTTCCTCAGCGCTTCCGCCCATTCGGAATACTCTTCGGACCTTCCTCCCGCTTCACTTTCTGTCGGCAAGGCTCCGTGGCCGCCGCCACCGCCGCCGCCACCGCCGGCTGATTCCGCTCCCCCGCCACCGTGCAAATTTTCCGCGCTGCTATCGGCGGCAATGTCAGCCGTATTAGCAGGTGTCTCTGCTCTTTCGGTTGTTACTGCTGATGCTGGTGCTGCCGCCGCTGCTAACCTGCGGGAAAAGAAACATTGACCAACGCGTGAACGCGTTGCAAAAAGCGAAGTGAATCAGCAACCAAACAGCCGACGTGCCCTTTGCCCCTGAACCCATAACACCGACGACGTCTATCGCCGATGAAAACGTTCATTAGCCCGGAAATAGTTTCAAAAGCACTGGACCGCAACGTTTGGCGGTGGTACCCACACTTAGCCACTGCGCCAAGTCTCATCGGCACCATTCCAGCTGCTGACTGTGTTGGCACCTGCCACCCAGAACGACTAAGATGAGGATGCCCCGCCCGCCTTCGGTCAGCTATCTCGCCGCGTGAAATCGCCGCTGTCATATTCGTCGCCACGCGCTTTGCACTAAGCAGCTGTAGACTGTAGACTCCCCCGAAACCCCAGAAGCCCGTGTCCCGGCTCCAGTGTATCTCGTACTAGCATACGCCGGCTGGATCGCCCTCCAACACCTAGCGGCATCTCCTACTTGAACCCCCTCCACGACAAACCAAAAACAGCCCGCCCCCCGGCGATTGGCCAAAACGCTAGTGAGGGATGTGGATCAAAGCTATTTGGAAGAAAGTAGGGTTCACGGGAACACATTAATCCAAAGCGTGGAAGAATCGACCCATAGAAGCGTTTCTGACAGAGTACTTGAAGAAATGCCAAATGGATGGTACGGTAAGTTCCATGTGATGTGATGAAGAGGAATACGGGGTAATTGTTTGGTACTCCGTATACGGTATAGATAATCGCCGGGGTGTGTACGGTGTCGCCCCCGTTATCGGGGCAAAGACTGGACGAGGTTAGCACGCCACTAAATTTCTCCTTGGCGCGTGCACGCCGAGTTGCCGATATCCTATGCAACAAACGTCTCCACGACAAGCTACCTACCCCAATTCGGATCATCCCCACACACTTCAAGCGTGATATCATACCCGAAGGTAAGGCTAGCTACACAGGGTTCGTTCGGCTAAGAGGCCACGTCGTCATGGATTTATTTATCCGAAATCAGCGAAGAGCAACGTCTCGCAATGGAGGCGCATATCCAGGCATCAAGAATTTTCTACGGGGCAGCAGCAGAAGAGAGCCCCGCCTCAGACAGCGAGAACAAGCTTTCGACCGGGGTTATCTCTCGAACGGGTAGTCTTTCTGTGAAATTATGTTTACTTCCTATGAGAAAGCTTTCGGAAGGAGACGACACCCAGCTAGAGAGTGGGCTAAAACGGAGTCGAGCCCGAGACACCAAGACCAGCCCCAAACGCTAAGGGAACTTCGGGTCGCTGAGACCCTCGCGCGGGCAATGCGTCGGGTCAGCATTCAACCGGGGTTGAAAACCCAGGAAGAGTTACCCCCTAAGGGCACCCCATAGTGTAAACGTGACGCCGTTTGACGTCAACCTCATGAAGGATGACGATGTTTTCTGTTAGCTGTTATGGTATTCAGATGTAGCTAACTCAAGTCCTGATGGGCCAACAGAACTGCGTAGAAGCGATTGAGTCGCGCGAGTGTGCATCATAGTATGTAGGCCAGATAAATGATGACCTTCCCGCATTGAAAGAGGAGCATGGAGTACGGTACGAAAGGTGGACAAGACCCTGAAGGCATGACAGAAGCTAACAGCAAAGATTCAGTTTTGGCCAGTGATCCCCTAAACGATGGCTAGTGGGTGCCCAACTGAGAATACGGCCAGTCATCCCCCTCAAGGATGGTTAGTGGGTGCCCAAGTTATATTGTGTCTAATACTCTCTTGCGCACCCATGAGCCATCATTAAGGGAATATCTGTCCAGAACTGAATCTTTGCTTTCAGTCTCTGCCATGCAAGCAGGGCCTTGTCTGCCAGTTTTACTCCATTGCTCCTTTCTCAACGCGGGGAAGGTCAGCATTCAACAAGCATTTCAAGGTCCACGCTGCCACCGACAAGTTGGACGTTCACCGTCAGTGGTACAATTCCAAACAGCCCCAAACAGAAGGAAGGGGGAGTCGCGCAAGAATATTTTCGCTACGGCCGCAGCAAATACGCCACAAACTGGAGGTGTATCATTGGTTCAGACTGACACAGATGCTAAACAACACTATGTTCATTGCAACCGTCCAGAATGTGAGGTTCAAGGGGCCACTATGTAGGCCAAGCCCGAGTTGACTCTGCAGCGAGGTGGGGAGGGTACCCTCGGGCGGCGATGGTGCGAGCCACGGCGGAAGGCACGGGCCACAGCAAGGGGGGCGGCGCCCTTCAGGATCAGGACGTGGACACCAACATCAGCAGCAGCGGATTGGAGGACGACATGGCGGGCCGTGGCGGTGCTTCCGGGGGGTGAGGTGGAGGCGCCCCTCACCCCGGACCGCCTGGCGGCAATCTACCTGCTTACCCCCGTGATTATCGTGCCTACCACCCTAACCTCTACCTCCCCCCCGGGTAACGTGCCACCCATCCATGCCGCTGATCCCCGAAAGAGGAGTGAGACATTAAACGAGTTGGGCCACAACCATCCGTGTTGTCCATCGCGGCAGGCCATCTGGCACGTCTGCATGCAGCGCGCCACGCCGGCGCCCTGCTGTTGGAGGTAGGCAGCGGCTCACTCCTGCGGGCGGCGAGGAACACTGGCAGCACGAGCCCGGAGCAGACGAGCCAAGGATAGGTGGAGACGCACGCGACTGGTTGGTTATCAACACCCGCTCCAAGAACAAGAACTACAACCACAGCAGCGCCTTCTCTCCTCCCGTTCAGCAGCAGTAAACCCCAGCCCCAAACGCTCCTCCCGCGCCCTCAGACTGGAGCAGCTCTATCGACAGGGGGGGGGTTGGATGCGTGGGTAGTGCGGCCATCTTGATTGAGGCGATGGTGAGAAAGGTGTGACGGGGCGTGAGGGATTCGCTCTGGTGAACGTGCTGCCTGTCATGGCAGACGAAGTAGCACCAGATAAATGGCTAGCTGACTCAGGTGCCACAAACCACACGGCCGGAAACGCGTCGGTAAAGCATGACGCGTTAGAGCCGACGCCTGGTAGCGAGAGGGTCCAAATTGGCCATAGTTACACCATTCGGGTGTTGGGCTATTGCTAGTCTAAATAGTAGCCATAGCCACCACCCGAATAGTGTAACCATCGCCAATTTGGACCCTCTCGCCACCAGCGGGGGACTCGATCGCGTCATACATTCCCGACGCGTTTCCGGCCGTGTGATTTGTGGCACCTGCGTCAACGAGCCGTTTATCTTCTGCTACTTTTGCCAGAACAGGCATCATGTTGACCAGAGCCAACCCCTCACACCCCCGTCACACCTTTCTCACACTCGCCTGAATATAGCCGAACTACGCACGCATGCAAATCCCCCCCTGTCGATGGAGGTGCTCCCGCTGAGGGCGCGGGAGAAGCGTATGGGGCTGGGGGTTGGCTGCTGCTGAACGGGGGGATAAGGGGCTACCTGCTACCGTTGCTGAAGCTTTTGTTCTTGGGGCTGGTTTTGATAACCAAACTAGTCGCGTGCGTCACCACCTATCCTTGGCTCGCTGCAGGGTTACTGCTCCGGTCTTGTACTGCCAATATTCCTCGTCCGACCACACGCTACCAACTGCTGCGCCTGTGACCTCTGGTCCCGCCACAACAGCTCCCCTCTGGCTTCGGCTCTTGATTGGGTGAGGTATGCATGAACGGTGTTTGTGACCCCCGGTGTGCCGAGTACACTTTCTGGTGTGATCCCCTCTGAGGACTCGTGTCCGCTGCAACCAGCGAGGTTCCTCGACGGTGTCAGCGTAGTACCTACGGTTTTGTCTGGTGTCTCCCCCACTCTCAGGAGCGTTGTCCCTCCCACGGGATTCAGCAGTCTCGGAAAACATGTCATTGACCGCGGTGGCAAGGTTGCAACAACCCAATCTTGACGTACTTTCGGAGCGTGCATTTGAGGATGATTTTTTCCCTGCCCCCTTTACGGGAAGGAGAGTACAAGTTGGCCGTGTTTTCTTGTTGAGGAAGGCGGCCGACAACGTGCAGAACGCCGACAACGTGCAAAATGAGTACAGATGTTTGAACGTGGATTTTCAATGTTGTCGGGAGATTTCGCGTCCGCCGCTTTTGCCACGTCCACTGATCACGGCATGCATTGACATAAGTACCCCCCCCCCCCCCCCGATTCATGAAAACCTCCTCACTTCGACAAGAGGACCCCGCTCGTGGCCGCCTCGCACAGCTCGTCCGTTGTCGTTACCCCCGCCGACGCCAAGCGATCAGTGAGCGGCTTCAACACCGTCGGAAACGTCCAGGGCGGATCCTCTCGAAGCCCCACCTTGTCTCGGGAGAAAAACCAGGTCACCAGTAGCGGAGACGGTGTCATGACAGGCGCGGGGCGAGGGGGTCTCAGATGTTGCTCGTCTTTGATAAGGCCTTCGAGAAATTGACCACGGGTCTCTTAAAGAGGAGTATATCGCATTGAGACGCTTTTTATCGCTTAGACACCGTCTGCGCGGACTGCGATAACCCCTCGCATCACTACGGCACTTTCCTACGGTGTGTACTGTACCCTTGGGGAGGCGGGGAGCGGGGAGGGGGGGGGGGGGAGAGGGTGGTAGCTGGCCTCTCGGGGCTCGGTCATCCGTTAAAGAAAAACTGAGGCTGGACACCGGACTTCCGACATGTTGAACTAATTTCCATACGCCATCATCACGACCGTGGCATTCCCGTGACAAAAGGAGCGTCACGGGCGGACCATTCTTGTCGTGCGTTGTTCTAAACGGCGCTCGTTCGTGGACTCGCTCCGAAACTAACTGGGCACGGGGTTGCGGAGGGGAAGACAATAATCACACCTCTAACAAGAAAGCCTCTAGCGGCAGCCCCCGAACTCCGGGGTATGTCCAATCGGACCTCTTGCCGCCTGAGTCACCAGAAAAGGGTGGGAGAAGATCGGAGCAAGAGGGGAGGGTGGGAGGGGCGGGGGTCGCACGAAACGGCCGGAGCAGGGTGCGTCACTACAGCCGGTGAAGGGGAACGCCGCAAAAGAAAAAAACCTTCGCAAAGATATCACGGCATAGCAGAAGGAGAGAGCTTTGAATCATTTGGAACCCACCACCACAGTAAGCAACAGAGACGGTTGTTAGACGGTTTTTAGTCTACAAAACGGTACCAGCTAACAAAGGCAGGTATCCATCCCCCTTCACCCCTCCTGCGCCCGCCATACCTCGGTGACACTCGCTCGGTACCCAATACCGCGGGCACCCCTGACTGACTGCCTTGTTTATTTGAACGTTGAGTGGTACTCGTACAACTCGGTCGTTCCTCCATCGCAACGCGATCTACCGCAGTCCATCTATTCTTTAGAAGCCAAAATCAAACCATTCGACTAGTCAGCCCTCTCACCCGTGTAGTCGCAAATTTCGAGCGGCCTGTCCAAAAACTCGGGGAAGCTCGACGTCAGGGTTCGGTACACGGCCGTCAGGTACTGCGGCGAGGGGGGCACATACGTCTGCACCAGGTGTTGCGACATGATGTACGTGATGGCCGACGAGGCCACGTCGTTGGAGCCAGAAGTGGCGCTGGTGTTGTCGTCGTCGTCGCCGTCGCCATCTTTGACCTTGCTGCCTTCTAAGGCAACGCAGACGTTCACCATCACGGCCTGTGTGCGAATGTCGGATCGGCGCGTGGAAAGCGCTGTTGAGGTGCGATGGTTGCGTGGATAGTCACTCGACGACAAACCTTACAAACGAAAACAAACCAAACTAATACGAACAAGCAGATATAAACGAGATGGAAACATAACCGAGAGGGATTCGTGCAACATAGCCGCTGTTGGCGTTGACAACTTCGCCCGTTTTCGCGGTCCACTGCGAAAAAAAACAGTATCACCACCACAACCCCCACAGCAACACTGACGGCAACATGGCCAGTACATAGCTCAGGATGCCGATCAAGGAGAACCCGCAGCAGGAAGCACAGAAACCGCAGCAACAAGAGCTGAAAAGCCTCTTTAGTTCTCGACGACGGTGCCGAAGAAGAAAGGGATCGGGTAGCTGCGAGCACTACCAATGTCTCGCCTCTTTAGAATAGCCCCCTAGCTTCACGGCCTCGTACAAATCCAGGATCTCCATCTGAGAGTAACGCCGTCCGGCGGGGGGGGGGGGGGGGGGGGGGGGGGGGGGGGGGGCCAACCCGGGCCCAGCCAAACCCCGAAAGGGGGAAAAAAAACCAATTTTTTCCAAATCCAAAATGCCAAAAAAGGGGGGGGGAAGGGTTCCCCCCCCCTTTGTTTTTGGCCCCAAAAAAAAACCCCCCCCCTTGGGTTTTTGGGGGGGGGGAAATTCAAACCCCCGGGACCCAAAAAAATAAGGGGAAAAAACCCCCCAACCCCAACCGGGGGGTTTCCCCCCCCCGGGAAAGGGGAACCCCACCACCTTTTTTGTTTCGGAAAAGGGCCCCCCCCCTTCCCCGGGGGGAAACAAAAAAAAACCGCCCCCCCCAAAAAAAAAAATTGGGCCCCACCCCCCCAACCCCCCCAAAAGGGGCTTCCCTTTTTCCTCCAAAAGGGGTTGGGGAAAAACACACACT